AAGCAAACGCACTGAGTGTTCCAAGTGTCTCTTTCACTTTGGTTATCAATCAGAGAACGAAACCGGTTCATGTGCAAACGTGACGAAAATGAACTTGAAATGATCTACTTACGTACCACGATTCCTTGGGAGCACTTTCTCCTAGCACAGAGTTTAGAACATGTTGCACTTCAACCCCAACGACTTCAGAGAGTTAGTTGCGTGATCTGCCTTGCAACTAGACAAGAACTCCGTATGAATATTCCTGCTGGGGCTGATGGATATTAGGAATAATTATTATTGCAGCGGCGATCGTGCCAAGCCTGAATTCTCTGAATAGCCCCTGATTAGTTATCACGTATGTGATTAGCATATGTCATGGAGCTTTGTTTTCTAGAAATTATTCCCTTATCTGTGCTGATATAGCGACTCCAAACTCCTTGATGCTACCTCGTTACAAATAGAAGGTCGCTGTACTAATAAGTTGTGGTCGGAAACTAAAATCCTTACTATTTGGACAGGGCTAGGAGGCCAGTTGGCAGATCATTATGCATTTGAGAGCGTTACAGGGGTGATCTCAACTGAGAAGAAACACGGGTTATCAAACCTGTCCTATCAGCACTAATATTTTTACACAGCAAAGGGCCGGGTGAGTCCGTCGACATGTACTTTACTGAATCAAAGATTTTAGCACATGGTCCTTGGTAAGGAGTTCAGTTTCCTGACGACTTCTGCTGCACTTTTCAGACTTTCCGGTGCTCAAGTTTTCCTTTTGGTTTGGCAATTTTGTCTGGGTTTTCACAGAAACGAATGCTGCAGGCGGTAAACGATTTTGTCGGTGTAACTTGCGTAGCGGATTAAATACTGGTTTACGGTTCAACTCAAGAGGATCATAATGCCAATCTCCACCGGTTCTTGTTGCGTTGCATACGAAAGAACATACTTTGAATGTGTGATAAAGTCAAACTTCGGAAACGGGGATTTATTTTTTATGGACATATCCTCACATCAGAAGGAATCAGACACGATCCGGGAAATCAGATACCAGACATTCCAACCTCTGAAACCCCCAATTATGAAAAAGCGGTTAGTCCTTTGGACGGTAGTATCAACTAATTGCGTCGTTACTTGCCACGGCTTACCGATCTCACGACGCCACTCCGTAGACTGACTAAAAAGCGTGAAGTGGAGTTGGAGAAGTGCGCAGGCGACCGGTTTCGTTACCGTCGCGGCCTCAATAGATACAGTGTGATAGCTGTCAGGGATGAATACTCGACTTGCTCATACAGGAAGGAAAACCCCGCGATCTACGATGGCCTGTTATCCAAAGGAACTTGTATGCTAATTCCAATCTTTTTCCATAGGATTTAATTACAGCGTTTATAGAGTAAGAGAACCGATGTTATGTCACGGAATAAAGAATTAATCGAAGTACCATGGGTCAAACTGCGCTTCTTCCCCTTCCATTGATTCTTGCCAGATCAAGAAACCACTGGAGTTACATGATGTACCAGATCGACAATGGCAAAAAACAGCTTTGAATATATTCGGTGAAAAGGGAAAAATTACCTAATAGCCGTCTGTTGCATCAGCAATTATTTCGATATTCATTTACTCAACAGCAGTACCAAGTAACCTGTGATAAACCAACTTAGGAGATAGTCTGTTCGACGCGGGATACCGGAAGAACTGATCTTCGACAACGGCACGCGGTTTGTAAGTGAGAAATTCCAAGCTTTCGCAACAATATGGGATTTAGCGCACTGGAACACTAGGCGGTACCTCAGCCATTCAAATAATAATGTCGAAACAGCAGTAAGTGGACAGGTGGCTATCAATAGTTTCAGCCACTTGATAAGTTTGGAGAACCTCAATACGCCATCTTCGGATATTGTTCTAGGCCCGGTGTATCATATGTATTGCAGAAGGACGACTGCTCGGATGCTTGAGTCGGCTACGCTTTTGTGCCCTGTTTTGCTGGCAAAAGAACAATAACGAAGATATCTACAGCAAAGTTTGATTAATCAAAAGACTGCGGCACCATGGCTTTATCTGAACTGACATTAAGAGAAGAAATATAAATCTAAAAGATTAGTGGTTTTCACAAAGGATGGAATGAGGGTCTGGTTGCCGCAAGGATCAGAGAAGGTTCAAAAGAAGTGAACACCGGTGGTAAGAGAATCAGAATCGGTTGTATTTGAGAATAAACCGGAGACGACAGTGAGTCAGGCTTTATATATTCCGTAGCGAGCGGCAATAGGATCAAAACAGCAGGGTTGCGCAAGTCAATAAGTAGGGTCAAAACGTAGGTAACGCATTGGTGGCTAAGAAAGAAGAGCACGAAAATTGGAATAATGTGTTGTGAGTATCGTACCGAATGGAACATGCATACCAGCGAGACCTGATTGTCAGCTGATCAGATCGGCCATTAGTAATACCAGACTCTGATGATTGAACAATGGTTAGCGACTTGTTTCATTGGAGTAAAGAGGAAACACTGTTGATAGAGGTACATCGTTAGTAATGGTACTGGTTCGGTAAGTTACATGAAGGCACTGTGCGAACGAGCTACGCTGAAATGGGCTGTTGCTTGGTTTTCGCCAACAAACCGTTTGTCTTTGCACGGCGGGGTTTTACGATACGCTGTCCCCCCTCAATTCATCAAGCTCTTGCCAGTCACAGCTAAGTAAGATATGCGGTAAGATATGCTTACATCTTATTGCTGTACAGACATTCAGGTATGGTGATGCACCGAACATTATGTATCTGAGAGGTCTATAAATGTGCCGGAATCTAAAGAGAGCTTTTTGTTGCACCGAGGACAGTGTAGTCTAGCCTGTGCATTCAAAGGGAACCCTAATGAACCTAGATGGTTTTGGATATAGAGGTTTTAAGCCTTGAGTGACAGCTACTATTTCTTCCATCGAATGCATGACACTGCTCTCATGCGAACATCTGCTAGCATAAGAAGCATGAATTAATACGAGCAAAATTTCCCAATGGAGTTCGAAGTTTAGTCTCCTTGGTCAGAGTAATTTTAAGACCATTATATTTCTCCGTTTGCCACGTCACGTTCAGATGGCGCACGTTGAAACATTATTATTTGACTATGAGCCTTCAAATAAATCTACTGATCCGGGTTCTGCCTTAGACGGACAAGTTAAGGACCTTCGGATAAACTCTCAGTAATGAACAGATTCGTTTATTTGAACACTCATGGAAGGTGACTAACATCGTTACCAGTTGGAGCAAGCTGCTCATAGCGGAAAATATACAATAAAAACAGCAATCGTCTATCCGAATAAATTTACCATCAGCTTGTCGTCGGTAGCGATAACTGCAGTGGTCAATGTTTGCGCCCTCAGGTTTAATGTAGGACAGCAATCCTAAATGAATGGTAAAATTTTTAGCCATTGCTTAAACGCGTGGGTTGAATTTTTACTTTGAGCAGATTACCTACACCCGAGTTGCTCGATATCAAAAACGTTTTCTAACCACCTGCCTACTCTTCCGTACACGAACGTTTCAAGTAGTTTCAGGATGCCTTTACGGATTCCTTCATTTCCCACATCCATTTAATTTAATGATAATCTCGCAGGTAGAGATTTTCTTGTGCTATCTATTTTGTACCTGAGCGAAAGCTGCCTGGTATGGTTACCCAACGAACAAAGTTTCGTTGCTTGACATTCAATGGTTGACACAATCAATACATGACAAACTTCTAGAGTTATCTAATATGTGATCTGGAATCTACGCCTTCATAGTTCAGTGTTGTTGAGAACTACCAAAGTGTGATGTATTCAGCAGAAGCTATCGCAGACTACGAGGCGACTTGATTATGGCATACTTGATTCTGCAAGTTCCACATCATGTGTGCCACCCTTTACTGCGACTCAGCACCAATACAACTTTGAGGGGCCGCTCATTGAAACTCGCAGAAGAGTATAGCCGTCTAGAGCGCTGCAGAAATTTTCCATTCGTGTCTGTCACCCGTGGAATGCTCTCCCATAATCAGTCGTGTATGCACCGACAAGGACAGTATTTAAAAAACGGTTGGATGACGCACTCATCCACTTACACTGTCACTTAGCGCTACGTCTCCATCCTACACCAGGACTTTTCCATGGATTTATTTGATATTAACTGTGGGTGCTGTGAATATAAGCGGATTTGCAATACTACAGCGGAGCAAACGATAAGCCCTTATTTTCATATTTAAAATACTGTTTTACTATTATTATTATTATTATCATTATTATTATTTCTATATCCCCACCAACTATCCAACTGGACTTGTAAAGCAACGCTACTTAACCCGTATAAATTCATTGTTCATTATTCAACCAAAACCAAGCCCTTTACTCAAAACGACTAGGACCAGAGGAGATTTGACGAATGTTCTTATTTTTGCAGTTGCATTCACAGCAGCAGTTTTATGGCTGCATCCGTTCGCTTACCTAAACCAAGAACCTCAAGTAACTTCTTGAAGCCAGGTTTTTCTGACGTCAGAAAGTGGTTCTCTTTTATTCCTATACACCGAATCCATATGAATCGGCTAGATAGCAATTTAGTATGCTGCACGCAGACAGTTTATTTGATATGAACACCTAGGGCACATTCAAGCATTGGACTACAGTTGACACGTTCTTATAAATTCTACCATGTTCACCGCAGTTGAACCTTCATGTGGCACTGTCCCCTACCAATGTTAGAACAAATTCTGCTACCACCTTATGTTTATTCAAGTTGATCCGGCTAGGGTGTGGTTGTCTAAGCAAAGATAATGGACGCCCTTCCGATACTGGTTGGTCCAATTCGATCCTCTACTGCTTTGATGGTGTAACGCTGGCTTAGTTCACACACAGCTAATCTCGCTCACCAATACACAGGGACCAGTTTTGATGACGAAAGATGCTGCAGACATAAGTGTAATGCCGTTCCGAATATCTCTTTCATAGCAGTTTATGCACACCTAGATCCGATCGTATTTTACCCATCTTTCTCTTCTCTTTCATCTACAGCCCCTCTACACTGGAACTAATCCTAACGTCTTGGGTTATTGCTCCGGTGCTGGTCGGCGCTTATGTGGGATGGCACACTGCGAGCTGGATGTAGAATCTGCAGATTCTGGCCGGGGGGCCAGCGAGGACGATCCGGCTGTAATGAATGGGACTGGCGTGGTCCAATTTTATCCAACATTCCAAATCGCACACTCTTCCAACGCGCATTCAAATGGATGCGCTTCTGTGAATTATACCGGGTTGATTGGTGTTGCTGATTCTGCGTCTGTGGGTAGCTGTAACGGTTGCCCAATTCAGCTAAATCTGAGGATAGACGATGCCTCCACCTCTGTACCTGAACATAAAGCCGAATGGAACCTTGCTGAACGACGACCGCGGCTGAAATGCTGATTGGTTGACCAGCCGTTCAACACCTGTATCTGTGCGTTTTTGCGTCCCTCGACCCCACATTTTACCCATATTCTGTATCTATTTTATTTTATTGATTTCAAAGGTTACATCCTTCTTGTGGGTACTTTCGGTTCGGAAGGGCTGCGAAAATTTGCGTTGTGAAAATGACGTTGGTATGATCGAAATAAGGATCGTAATTTGACTTTCATTGGCTCGCGATTGGAGAGGCCATTTTACCCGAACAGTCCAGTAGAACCTCAAGCCTACTTTTAGGTTGTGTTGGTAAATTAAGTCATTAAGTAACTAAATGTTGTCTTCCTGGTAGTGTGGGGCACGCCTGCGAAGGCGTGATCATTATAACACAAATAGGTGTAGTCCTTAATTGTATAAACATATAACAAGTTAACAAGTAACATGCTGGATTTGTTTGTCTTTATATACGTAGGTGTAAGTGTTAGTAGGTACAGTGAATGCACTTGTGAAGTTTGACTGAATTCCTGAGTTTGCTTAATGTGTTCACAGTATTCATAGTACTGGGTTCTTAGTTTCGCGAATACGTCTGTTAGGCATTGGACAAATCGGGCCTTGCCGCGCAATAAGTCATGTCCTCACATCCGGAATTTAGAGGTATTCTGAGCAGGAGAGACGGTAAACCTACCGTTCCGTCATACGTAGAACCAACTTCTTGCCGATCTGGAACCCCTAGCGTTCCGGACTAAGCTGCTTGTCTTTCGAAGACCTAAGTTTCTTACATTATGTCATCTTTTAACATGCACTTGAGAAGCCTGTACTTTTAGGACCGTCTATCGCTGTCGTCGAGGGGCTATAGACTGAGTGAACAATGCTGAGGTCCGTCAGTTTATTTTTGTTAAGACGCCTTCTGGTACCTCACTCGAGTGTTTGCTGAATCTTAATCGTTTACGTTGACTTGACCATGGACTCTGTATGTCTGATGACCGGCTTCCTCTGCGTGCATTAGACGCTGTGGCTGCACCAATCTGGGTGGAACCGCGAAGTGGTCAGTCCATGAGTTGGCGTAGTGGCATGAAGAAATTGTTGAGTGGGGTGCGTGCCCTCTTCGTGGATGGTGTCATCGGGATGCTCCATACCAATGGTTGGAGACCGTGTCAGACATGGCACAGTCGCGCGGTCAGTGGGTTCCTGCATTCGGTTTTCTGCATCTGGTTGTTAATTTCCGTTCCATTCTGATTAGATGAACGTTTTTCCTCCATGCTTCCATTTTCTTTAAGTTCTTTTTGCCCTTAGCTCCACTAGCTTGCTGTTGTTATTTATTGTTCTTCTTGCGATGTGAGTCGCGCCAACTGTATCCATCGCGCTTCTGTGCTCGGCTCGTAGTTGATCAACTAAACTGTACTGATAATCTGGGTTCCTATTGGAGCCCTGGTGGATGAGTACTGCCGACAGTCACAGTTGGACGAAACGGCCGTATAGAGCTTTTACAGAGATTTCGAATACACTGGTTACAAATTGGCAGTGGTGGTGCGCTTACATATAACCGCTCATGTTCCCTGTGCTTCGGTAGTAATAGTTGTAGTCCATATTGAGTCACCTGAATCAAACGATAGCCTGAAGGGTTCGAAGAAATTGAAATTCGAAATGTTAACCAGGGCGCAGTTACACGGCATTGCATCGCTTGAATTATCATCTGTTCAGCTAACTTCAGGTGAACAAATATGATCCGAGCACAGAAATGAGGCGGATCCATTTGCCACGGCTCACATCGAAAGAAAAATGCTAGATAAAAACAGCAAGGTAGTGAGGTTGGTTTCGAATAGAATGCAAAAATTGAAGCAATAAGAACGCAAATTAGATCAACCATAAAGTAACGAAAATTAACAAGCAGATGCAGGAAACCGAATGCAGAAACTCCTCTGAATGCGTGAATGCGCTATGTATGATACCGTCTCTAACCATTGGTGTAGACCATTCCGAGGCCCCCATCCACGAAGACGGCACGCAACAGCCTTGTCAAATCTTTCACCCAACCTCTTTATGCCTCTATGGCACGCCATATACTGGCCACTTCGCGGACTCGCCTAATTTGTTGCAGCCACAGCGTATAATGCATGCCGAGGAAACCGGTCAACAGGCATACGGAGGACATGGCCAAGCCAACGTAAGCGAGTAATATTCAGCAAACACTAGAGTGAGGCACCAGAAGGCATGTTGCCAAAATCCATCTGCCAGACCTCAGCATTGCTCATTCAGTGTTCGCAACAGACGTGAACAATACTTTGCAAGCACCGGTGATCACACACGACCAATCGCTTAATGTCTTCACTGTGAACTGGTCAAGTCTTTTATCCACTCAGTAACACCTGCTTACCGCAGCGTTATACACTCTACTTAACATCTAGCCATCTCCGTAGGTGGTTGTGCCTTTGAAAAGACACACCGTCCTTACTGATACGCGAGCTAACATCCTCAGTGATATTGCCAACAGAGGTGACACAGCTACCAAGGTAACTGAACCGAGCCGCAAATTCCACTGCTTGTTCGGTAATGGCTAGAACCGGAGGTGTATCGGTCCAGCCCTGCAAAAGTAGTTTGCACTTTGAAGGTGCAAAGCACATGCCGAAGCTGCAAAGCTACGCGTCAGTCTATCCTGTAGTGTTTGCATAACCACTGCGTCAGACCCAAGGAGAACTATGTCCTCCGCATACTCGAAGTTTGTCAGACGACCACCCGGCAGAAATAACACCGCTGGAGTCTAAAATAACCGGTTCTTCATAATCGGTATGATCACAAGGTTGATGAGGAAAGGACGTATAGGACAACCTTGGCGAACCCCACTTGTCGTGGGGAACCCAGCGGACAGTATCCCGTAGACCCTTGTACGACCTCTGGGGTCAAATTAGAGAGATTTCAGAATGGAAAGGGGTTTAGCCGGCAAGCCATTCACATCTATGCGATCTATTCGCTGTCCTAAATAGTGTTAACTAGAGAAGTAAGTCCAGCCAATGAGGTCGTCGGGTCGATGAGCCGCGTTTCGTTTCAACGCACAAATTTCGTGTCGAATCTCTCCCAATGTAGCAGTTGTGACATCCACTTCCCACGTCGGCCCAGATGAATCGGCAAGCGACACTGTCGCAGCAGGCCTGCTGAACTGCTTCTCAAAAAGTTCCGCCCAGCGGGTTAATCGACGACGCTGAGAATGGATCATCTGTTCATCTTTTTCAGCTATTGTCCAGCTAATTGATGGCTTTCCCGGAACCTGTTCCGGATGAGGTGGAATAACATTCGGCTGTTACCTTTGGCACCGGCTTTCTCCATCTAACTTGCCCTTGCCAACCACTAATGTTCCCGATCGATTCGACGGCTCCTTTTCAGACGTCGTTTCAGAGAGTTACGGACATGCTGAAACTCAGTGCCCATCGGAGCCTATTTACGAGGGTCAATCAAGCTTCAGATTATTAAGAGCTTGTAAGAGCTTCGGATATTGTACATATTTCTAATACTCTTTATGATAACCTTAAGCCGAGTGGCTCGGAGGTCCCGAGGCTTTATGGGCTACCGAAAATTCTTAAGAGTGATGTCCCGCTTCGCCCGATTTTATTAATGGCCAACTCACCCTACCATGCCGTCTCCCAGTGGCTTGTGGAAATTCTAGAGCCAGTAAGACAGTGACTTGCACACTGTATCCTTCGTGACACCTTTCATTTTATAGAAAGCATCAAAGACCACCAAATCGGTATGAAAGTAATGTTTTCCTTGGATGCTGTATGGTATTTTACCAAAGTGCCACTTTTCGAAACCATCGATTACCCTTGCATCTACATGGAAGAAACACAAACATTGTATACCTTTGCGTGATTTGGAAAACCTTTTTTTGCGTTGCACTTTGAACACGCAGTTCCTATTCAATGGCACTTACTATCGACAAAAGGATGGTGTAGTTTGGGATCGCCATTGGGAGCACACACCATGCTGATTGCGTCCAGGCGGTACCGGGGCTATAACTATCTCAATTACGGCTCATCTTGTTGATACTGGGCATGGGGCTGACCCAACAGGGTCCTACCACTCCAGTCAAAAGGCCTGCGCCTCCGCACCCTTGCTACTGCCAAGGCGATCAGCATTCGTTTGTATCAACCGCTTTGGTGTGCACAAAAAGCTGATCGAAGATGATGAGCTACCTTGGTTTGATAAAACCAATCAGCCCTTCTCAAAGGAAGCCACGTAGTACCCTGCGGATGCAAGAGAAATCCCGGGGCCGTGTGAGGGAAAATTCTGTAGGGGGGCATGGACGCCAGAGGGCGTTATGCTGTGAAAAGTGGATTGTGACAACGCCAACAACAAAATTCGTCTAAAAAGTTTTCTGTTAATTTCTCTCCGCGTACTATTCTCCATTGGTACCTACTGGTCAGGGAAATGAAGTGTACGCGATCAAGTGGCTGTCTACGTAGGTGTGAAAGCTAGACCGGGCAGTGTTTCTGTTTCGGAGCTGGCACAGCTTTTGCACAGATTTTACCGAACTCACCTCAAACATACACTCGCCATACGGCGACTCAGACTGCGCAACTAACCACCGAGTCGTCCTCAGGACTTTGATAACTACCCGCAGTGAACCATCTGAGCTTTACTTGGGACACTGATGCATCTACTATCAATTTTCGTTAGATAACTGCGGCCGTTACCACAGAAAGTCACCCTGACACTAACTGAGTTTTTTTTTCAGAGCACTGCCACTGTGTAACAGTGTATGTGCCGGTCAGTTCGGGTCTCATTGCGGTAGCGTTAGGTTACGTTTTTTTTCTCCGGTCACGGCTGGTGTATACGTCTGGCGTCGAGGTCACGCTAGACCGCAACATTCCCAATTCCAATGAACACTCTGAGCACGTGGGGTACTACATTATGTGTACATACGGATACCTTCAAAATAAGCAAACGCCTTCCTAACACGCATTTGGCGCCATGTTGGGCAATAGCCGATGTACGTTAATATATTCGTGGTTCGCTCTCACAAGTCGGTTATCTGAACTATCCGGAATTTCGTTCCATGTTTGTCGCTTCTGTTCTTCATTTTACCTATTGTCACTGTTTGGTGGAACTTTCTTGCAGCGAATACGGGTCCACAAAATATTGCC